GATAAAGATATCGAAGATGGATGGTGTTGATAGCAGATTATTCAGCTGCAGGAATATATTTGTTCCCACTTTTTTTTTTTTAAGGAATGCTTTCACTTCTTCTCTACAGTCTGTTGCTGAAAGATATCACTTTTTGTACAATAATGAAAATATTTCCACTTGTGTAAAGTATCTCTACTTCTTTCATCCAGCAAGATGCTGTATATAATTGCAGGTGATGTTAAGACTCTTCTTTCTTTCAGCATGTGCTACTGCCAAATGGCAAGCTACTCTTTAATCTCGAAGAGTGTAAAAGTGGGTTGACTAGCGAGGAGATTTACTGAAAGAAAAATAATTTAGACAAATCCCAGAGTATGCATGAATAGGTATAACACAACCATTTATGCAATCATCTTAAGATCAGATCTGTATACAATATATCTATGCCTAATGTGTGTGAATGTCTATACACAGATGTGCCAATCCAAAAATCGATGCATGCTCCCATTTTTATATGGCTCTCTTGTGCATGTAGAACACGCCATTCATTTCAGTAGAGGGATTTCTTCATGCAAGCAATGGATTATGTGTTTGAATATGTTCTCCCTATTTAAATGAAGAGACTAACCTGTTCAAGTTATGGGATCCTTTTGCTTTTATGGGATTGCTTTGTATATATTTCATACTTTGCCTGAAAAAAATCTCAGAATCTGAGAGAAAAGCGTAATGCAACAACCAGAGAAATTTGCATTTGGCGAACTGCTTTATGCTGCAATACATGAACGAATATTTACAGGACAGAATTTCCCAATGAATCTAGATGCTTATGATAAATATTCATTTTTCTTTATACCTGTTTTGAAAGCAATTGATCTAATTCAATGATCTATTATTCCTTACATTTCAACAGTGACTTTTGTCACTGAACAAATTATTTACTGCTGGCTTAAAATGCCCATAATTGTAGAAGATGTCTAAATTAATAGTCCACATGAATGAGAAAGAGGTCATTTTTGATGCATTGAAATCTTTATGGTTGCAATTATCATCTCATAAATGAGCTGAGAAAAGCACCTTGAGAAACAATTCATAGCCTTGCTTGAAGAATTAGGGTACAATAAGGTCACATCCACTCCATACATTTAAAGCATGCGACTTCCGAAAGAATTTTGGGAACTGTAGTTTAAAGGTGCTGGGAACTGTAGCTGTGTGAAGGAGTAAATTACAGAATTCTTTGAGGGAAGCCATGTGTTTTAAATGTATGGTGTGGTTGTGACCTGAGTGTAAATTCTCTTCTGGTTTGAAATGAAACAATTCCATTAACAATTCCAGAAAAATACATTGCTCTGTGAAGGTGAAAAGTTAGAAAGCTTTTCCATGTAGATTGTCATCTTCCAACATGATGACAGAGGTCATGCTAAATATAGTAACAAAGCTACATGAGACTACGTTACGAGCAGATGAAAACAGGAACATATTAAAGACTATAGAATTAGAGCTAATTCTCTCTGAAGCATAATCTCAAGCAGGCAAAGTGTGGTACAGTTTCGTGTTTAGATGTAGAAGGCAGAGGTTCACATTCCTGTTCTGCCATGAAACCCTCATTGTAGACTTTGACAAGTCATTATTTCAGCCTGATCTGCTTTGCAAGATGATTGCAAGGGAAGAGCTGTGAAAAGTGACATAATGATTAAGAGGTGTCATGGATCGAGGTGTTGTAGAACTCACATGATAAGCAGAGGTGTTGCAACAGTGCTCACTAGAAATGGATGAGAAGGGAATAAGAATGAGAAGAATTAAAGAAACAAGAGTGGGGTTGTAAAAGGGGGGAAATCACAAAGAAAGTAATGGATAATGTAATGCAAAGGGCATTTCCCTCTGGCCAGACTGACTGCTGCTGCTGCTTTGCACTTTCTGGGCAAACTACAAAGATTCAGTTGACTAGGAAATGAAATGAAATAAAAGGAAGGAAAATAGCAGCTCTTTAGGGCCCAGGGATTCCTAACTCCTGGTGCTGAAACAAATCACTCCTCACTCACAACTCACCTCACTTGGTTGGCTAAAAAATGCTGAAAGGCTACATCAGCTACATGCTTTGCTTCCTAATATTCTTCCTGGAATTCCAACAGACTTGTTCCCCCACCCCAATGAAAGATAATAGCATGAACCCCCTTACAGGCAGGACCCTCATGCAATTGCTCCAACTGCACCATTGATAATCTGGCCTTGCCTAGAATAACAGCAGTGTGATACAGATTCTTAATTTAATTTCTGAGGCTCTTTAGACCTGAGGTTTTGCTTAGTATAAAGTAGTAAAGATCCCTGGGTCCTTCTAAAATTTTAAGTGTTGCAGCCACCCCTAAGTATAGGTTCAGCTTGCTAGGTCTTTACTAAGATTGTTTCCTTAGCAAATGTAGCATTTTAAGGAAAACGTGCAAAGTATTGTACAACAATATATTTTGTTCACTTCTTGAAGGCTAGCTGCAGATCATTTGCCTCTGCTTTAAAGTTCTTCTGCAATGCCTACATTCGGTTGGTGTTGATGATAGAGCTGCCAGCTGGCTGCAGACTACAGCAGTAGCCTAAGAATGTTAAGAGGAAGACTTAAACAATTTCACTAATGTACTGGAGTCAATGAAATTGCTTACCCTGTAATTGAAAGCAGTGTTAAATACTCACGACAGGTTTATCCTCACGTAACCTCAAAATGCCTGGAACTTTAAGTGCCTGTCATTGCAGGCAGCTTGGTCTACCACTAGGTGACAATGCTTAACTTAGAAAATATGGAGGTGCACAAAAATTCACATCAGTCAAAAGTGCAAAACTTGAGGTGAACCTTCTTAGCATTTTTTAAAAGAATTGTATTCAAAGCTTTGCCAGTCCTGGTGTCAAGGTTGGCCGTAGGCATTTCTGATATCCAAAATATTAAAATGGCACCTACCCTTTTATCTGCACTGGATCCTTAGGAAGCCTAGACAAGGCTTCCTTCTCCCTACCCCAGTTTAATTTATGAAACTGTGCCAGCCCTTGCGGAAGTCCTGGTTTTGCCTTCTGTAACTCTACAGTGAGCCCTTGCCCTCAGAATGGATGCCTGGTGCTCATATACGTTTCATCCTGAGCTTTCTTAACTCGCTACCAATACCTGGCCTCCTTTGCTGCCCTTTTGAATAAAACCCTGTATCCTTAGTCAACTTCCTGGTTCTTCTTTGGAATTCCCACCTGGTAAGCATAGCGTTGCCTCCTAGGGTTGGGTAGTGATGAATTCAGACCCAGTGCTAGACTATGACATCATTTCTTCTTATCCCTGGCCATAAATGCTTCAGTCAATATAAAACCCTCACTGAATGGTGACCCTGAATATTGCAAATGTAAAACAGAATTACTAAATGGGTTATGTATTCCAGAATAGCAAGTATTTAATTAATTAATTCATTCGTTCATTCAAACATTTTATATGCCACTTAACTATAATAGTTTCTAGGCTGTTTACAAAAGTAAAATACAAAGAATAAAAAGAAATGAAAACTGTAAGATCAGACTGCCCTGAAGATCTCAAGATTGGGCAGGGATATAAGGGATTAGGCACTTCTTCAGGTAGGCTCCTGCTTATAATATACAAAGCCTTATAACAAACTTCCATTGTCATTTTCGTTTCACTTTTAATCTGTATACAACAAATGTATACTAGTATACTATACTTTTGAACCATGCTGCATAGTGGATTGATATGTTAGCCCACAGAAATTTCAGGTATTTGCCTTTTATTATTTGTCAGTGGTTCTCGGTTCTTTTAAGCCAAATAGTAGTACTTTAACAACCATTGTCTGCAATGTAGAACTGGAGCTTTTTTCTTTTGTTCTTCTTTCTTTTTCTTTTCCTTTTTGGTAAAACTGCTTTCCATAGATTTCTAAAGACTGCTGTGATGTGTATGGAATGGGCCAGCATTGAGTAGTTATATCAAGTATTCAGATGCAGCCAAACTGGTTTTTGGAGCAAGCTGAATGTTTGATTCCTTTGTGATTCCAGCTTTTAATTGAGTACTGCTAAAATCCATTGGTTTCAGTGGTAATAAGTGAATGTTAATGGACACATGAGTCTGCATGTGGAATATGGAAACTGTTTTTCACATGTTTAATACAAAAATAGTCTGAAATCAAATATTACAGTACAGTTGTATCACATCTACTCAGAATTTAGTTGCATTAAAGCATAGGATTGCAACCCCAGTTGCAGAGTTTACCTATGATTCTGTGGCCTGCTTAACAAAAGGAGGGGGAGGGAATTGTGGATGCAATCCAGCTGTTTTAAAGTTTAATTGAGCTTTTTGCTAAATCATAGTTTAGAATTATATGAATGAGCCCAAACAAGACCATCTTGTGGCCAGGAGGAGAGTGGAAACCTGCATTTGCACTTTAAAACTAATGACTTCTCATTGTGTAAAACCTCAGAAACACTAGCTAGTTAAAACTGTGTTTTGTACAAACAAATTAGGGTCCCTCTGTGGTTCATGATTCCAGTCTGTTCACTAACTGGAGTTTAAACTTGGCAGAATTCCCCTGAATCCAGATGAAATTAGGAACTCTTGGTGAGTTCAATATGCTTCTGGTCTTCTCTCAGCCATGCCAAAGCTGGAGAGAGAAAAGGGAGCTTTAAAGCTTACACATGCCATGTTAAACCATCGTTTAGTATTATATTCAAACCAGGCAACTGAGTTCAGTGGGAAAGATTTAAGATTGTGCATGCCATTGTCACAAAAATAAATGAAACTTACAAGTTACCTGCTTTTGGTAAGAAAGTTGGCTGGATTTTGGCCTCAGTGGGGCTTTCATCTGTATGCTTCATGGTTGAATTTCTTTCTACCAAAGTTATTGTGCTGCAAAGTTCATGATAAGTTCAGAGAAAAGGAATGGCCAGTATTTTTCATGAATTGGAATGAAAAGTAAATAAAGTATGATCAGTATAAATCGGAAAGCTATATTTATGTGCATTTTTTTTAAAAAAAAGGAACTTTGTCTTTTCAGGGGGGTCAGATATTGAATATTCTGATGTCTACAAGCCAATGGTGTGGTTCTGGATCCTTGTAGGCCTTGCATATTTTGCTGCTGTCCTGAGCATGATCGGTGATTGGCTACGAGTTATATCCAAAAAGACCAAGGAAGAGGTAAGAAACTTGAAGCAGTCTGATTATGACTCAAATATTCTCCATTTTTACAAAGTTTAAGTTTGTAAGCCTAGTTTAAGAATTTTTATTTACCGTATTTTTCGCACCATAGGACGCAGTTTTTCCGTCTTAAAAACTAAGGGGAAATGTGTGTGCGTCCTATGGAGCGAATGCAGGCTCCCTGGCTTCAGCGATAGCAAGGCAAAGCCTCCGAAGCCTGCGCTCCGGAGGCTTCCCGTTGCTTCCGCTGAAGCCAGGAGAGTCTGCTCTTTGAGGCTGGTGGGGGAAAAGCAGCGCTTCCCCCATCGCCAGCCCCAGAGGATGGGGGGCAGCAGGAAGGCGTGCGACGCCTTCCCGCTACTCTCCAACCCTCCTGTGGGCTTTTGCGGGAGATGGGGGAATTCCCCCACCTCCCGCAAAAGCAGGCAAAAGCCGCGCACCCTGGCTTCTGCTGGCTTTTCTAGGAGGTGGGGGAATTCCCCCATCTCCCGCAAAAGCCCGCAGGAGCCGCGCACCCTTTAAAGAGCGAGCGGCTCTTGGGGGCTTTTCCCCAAGGAGGGAGAAGGGACTGACTGGCTGAGTCAGTCCCTTCTCCCTCCTGCGCGCTTTTGCGGGAGATGGGGGCATTCCCCCACCTCCCGCAAAAGCATGCAAAAGCCGTGCGCTCTTTAAAGGGGCTGCACGGCTTTGCTGGCTTTTCTAGGAGGTGGGGGGATTCCCCCACCTCGCAGAAAAGCCTGCAGGAGCCGCGCACCCTTTAAAGAGCGAGCGGCTCTTGGGGGCTTTTCCCCAAGGAGGGAGAAGGGACTGACTGGCTGAGTCAGTCCCTTCTCCCTCCTGCGCGCTTTTGCGGGAGATGGGGGAATTCCCCCACCTCCCGCAAAAGCAGGCAAAAGCCGTGCGCTCTTTAAAGGGGCTGCACGGCTTTGCTGGCTTTTCTAGGAGGTGGGGGGATTCCCCCACCTCGCAGAAAAGCCTGCAGGAGCCGCACACCCTTTAAAGAGCGAGCGGCTCTTGGGGGCTTTTCCCCAAGGAGGGAGAAGGGACTGACTGGCTGAGTCAGTCCCTTCTCCCTCCTGCGCGCTTTTGCGGGAGATGGGGGAATTCCCCCACCTCCCGCAAAAGCAGGCAAAAGCCGCGCGCTCTTTAAAGGGGCTGCACGGCTTGGCTGGCTTTTCTAGGAGGTGGGGGGATTCCCCCACCTCGCAGAAAAGCCTGCAAGAGCCGCGCAGCCTTTACAGAGCGCGCAGCTCTTGGGGGCTTTTCCCCAAGGAGGGAGAAGGGACTGACTGGCCGAGTCAGTCCCTTCTCCCTCCTGCGGGCTTTTGCGGGAGATGGGGGAATTCCGCCACCTCCCGCAAAAGCAGGGAGAAGGTCTTGGAGTAGCGCACAGGCTGCGTGCAGCCTGTCCACTGCTCCCAGAGCTGGGGGGGGTGGAATCATATTTTTTCCTTGATTTCCCCCCCTGAAAACTAGGTGCGTCCTATGGTCCGGTGCGTCCAATCGTGCGAAAAATACGGTAGTTAATATCAAACAGTGCTCCAAAATACTACTACAAGAATGTAAAAACTGCTCTAGTAACTGCTTGATATTGTTGTCTACAGTTCCATTTCTACAAAACTGATAACAAGTTGTTCTAGCTGCAACATAATAAAACACATTTTAACATCTTAACATTTCTAGAGCTATTTTAGTCTTTCTTTAATAGATTCATAATTAGATATTGGTGCGATTTATTTTTCTTTTATCATTCATCCCTGCTGGTGTACATTGTTTCAGATTTGTGCATATATATCTAAATTTACCACATAGCTTCCAAAATCTTTTCTCCCATATCCTTCCCCCCTCCCATTTTTTATGTAATCCGCTTTTATCCTCTTCCTTATATATTATCATTTGGTATATTTGAGGCAACGTGGCTGATAAATATATTAATCTTTCCAAAGAATACATCTGTCTCAATCCACTTTCTTGAGTTCTTAGCCAATAATTTAGAAAATCTTTTATTTGACAATGTTCAAATAATACGGGCCTTGTATCACTCAGCTTTCTCCTTGGATGACTGAAGAACTTGAGCTGGCTATTATTAATCCAATCAACAAATTTTTCAGTGTCATTTCCAATTTTGTTAAATTGTGGCCAAAATAGCTGAAAGGTTAATGGGCATTTTGAAATGCAGAAGTAGTTTTTTTAAAAATTCCCATAAAACAGGGGACAGGGGGCACTACTAATCCTTTTTACTAAGTTTCTATTTTTATTTTCCAAAAGCACTTTCTGTCAGCTTCCAACAAAACATTGTACCAAATGATTTCTGAAATTTTTATTTAGTTAAAAATACCAATCTACAATCCTTCCCAATCAACATGATAATTAGCTGGAAATGGAAGATCTTCTTCAACCCTGTTGGTGCACATTATTTTAGAAAAAAACATTCACAATTCACTGTCATGCTTCCATTTTTAGCTCTCTTTTAGCTATTTGTGTATGCAGCAACAAAAATGTTATTTTATAAAGAATATTAATTTTAATGTTGATATTCTTCCAAAAATAATAAATTTAATAAATCTCCATATTTCCAGCTCTGCTTTCGTATTTGCTTCCAACATATCACAGTTTAATAATTGAAATTGTCATTTTGTCCTAGGAAAAAAAAGATCCCTATATATTTCAGGTTTTAAAAACAACAGTCTGGATTTTTCTTTTTATTCTCTTAATCTTCTTAATTGTTGTTCTGAAAGCTGAAAGATAACAATTATCTTTACCACATACACACACACCCCTAATAATTTAAAGGTTGCTGGAAACAAGATCTTTCAGTCATCAAGTGCCTGGGTGAACAGGTATATTTAAAAATTCCTCCTGAAGGTTAATGAGAGAGACAGATGCATGTCACTAGAGAGTCTGTACACAAAAGGAGAATCATCCCTGAGAAGGCATCACCGCCATCAGGGTCTCCTCTGCTAATCATAAAGTCTGAATTGTTTAATATTGGAGTTGGTGCTCTCTTAATTAATTAATTAATTAATTATAAGAACTATGGATGGAGATTTGTAACATTATACAGGAGGCAGCAACGAAAACCATCCCAATGGAAAGGAAATGCAAGAAAGTAAAGTGGCTGTCCAATGATGCCTTACAAATAGCGGGGAAGAGAAGGCAAGCACAATGCAAGTGAGATAGTGTAAGATACAGGAGATTGAATGCAGATTTCAAAAAAATAGCAAGGAGAGACAAGAGGGCGTTCTTAAACGAGCAATGCAAAGAGAAAAACAATAGAATGGGAAAAACCAGAGATCTGTTCAAGAAAATTGGAGAAATGAAAGAAACATTTCGTACAAAGATTACCATAATAAAGGAGAAAAGTGGTAAGGAACTAACAGAAGCAGAAGACATCAAGAAGAAGAGGTAGCAAGAATACACAGAGGAATTATACCAGAAAGATATGGATGTCTCGTACACCCCAGGTAGTGTGGTTGCTGACCTTGAGACAGACATCCTGGAGAGTGAAGTCAAATGGGTCTTAGAAAGCACTGCAAATAACAAGGCCAGTGGAAGTGATGGTATTCTAGCTGAACTATTTAAAATTTTAAAAGATGATACTGTTAAGGTGCTACACTCAATATGCCAGCAAATTTGGAAAACTCAGCAGTGGCCAGAGGATTGGAGAAGATCAGTCTACATCCCAATACCAAAGAAGGGAAGTGCCAAAGAATGCTCCAACTACCGCACAATTGCGCTCATTTCACACACTAGCAAGGTTATGCTTGAAATTCTACAAGGCAGGCTTAAGCAGTATGTGGACCGAGAACTCCCAGAAGTGCAAGCTGGATTTAGAAGAGGCAGAGGAACCAGAGACCAAATTGCAAACAGGCACTGGATTATGGAGAAAGCTAGAGAGTTCCAGAAAAACATCTACTTCTGCTTCATTGACTATGCAAAAGCATTTGACTGTGTCGACCACAGCAAACTATGGCAAGTTCTTAAAGAAATAGGAGGGCCTGATCACCTCATCTGTCTCCTGAGAAATCTCTATGTGGGACAAGAAGCTACAGTTAGATATGGAACAACTGGATATGGAACAACTGATTGGTTCAAAATTGGGAAAGGAATACATGGCTGTATATTGTCCCTGTTTATTTAACTTATATGCAGAATTCATCATTCAGAAGGCTGGGATGGATGAATCCCAAGCTGAAATTAAGATTGCTGGAAGAAGTATCAACAGCCTCAGATATGCAGATGACACAACCTTGATGGCAGAAAGTGAGGAGGAATTAAAGAACCTTTTAATGAGGGTGAAAAAGGAGAGTGCAAAATATGGTCTGAAGCTCAACATAAAAAAACCTAAGATCATGGCCACTGGTCCCATCACCTCCTGGCAAATAGAAGGGAAGAAATGGAGGCAATGAGAGATTTTACTTTCTTGGGCTCCGTGATCACAGCAGATGGTGACAGCAGTCACAAAATTAAAAGACGCCTACTTCTTAAGAGAAAAGCAATGACAAACCTAGACAGCATATTAAAAAGCAGAGACATCATGTTGCCGACAAAGGTCCTTATAGTTAAAGCTATGGTTTTCCCAGTAGTGATGTATGGAAGTGAAAGCTGGACCGTAAAGAAGGCTGATCGCCGATGAATTGATGCTTTTGAATTATGGTGCTGGAGGAGACTCTTGAGTCCCATGGACGGCAAGAAGATCAAACCTATCCATTCTTAAGGAAATCAGCCCTGAATGCTCACTGGAAGGACAGATCCTGAAGCTGAGGCTCCAATACTTTGGCCACCTCATGAGAAGAGAAGACTCCCTGGAAAAGACCCTGATGATGGGAAAGATTGAGGGCACAAGGAGAAGGGGACAACAGAGGACGAGATGGTTGGACAGGGTTCTCGAAGCTACCAGCATGAGTTTGACCAAAGTGCGGGAGGTAGTGGAAGACTGGAGTGCCTGGTGTGCTCTGGTCCATGGGGTCACGAAGAGTCAGATTTGAACTGATTTTATA